TTATCTTTACAGCCATCATGATAGAAGATCTGTTCCAGGAAGGAGCCACCATGTCAAATTCTTTAGGCAGTTAGTGGGGGAGGTCAAATGTCCCTCAGAGAAAACAATCAAGGTAAAGAGATCTATTTTAGGGTGGCCAAATCTTGATCTCCCACAGTACGTGAATAGCTAAATCAGCAATGAAGTGAGACAGAAATCTGACAGGCAGACCTAGGTGCATGAGGGAGTGTTACACAAGATGTATGTGTTACCAAACCAGGTTCGTTTTGCCTGCCCAAAAAGCCTATCACCAAGACGACAAGATTGCAGAGAGAGAGGGTTTAATCACAGGGCAGCCACGTGAGGAAACAAGAGAATGAGTCTCAAATCCACCTCCCCGAAAACAGGGGCTCAGGGATATTTATCCAGAAGGGGGCAAGGTGGTCTGAAATGTGGAGATATATGATTGCAGGTGAGGAGAGGTGAGGTAATTGATGATCTGCTCAGGTGTAGTCAGACTTAATGCCTCTTCATAGGACGCATGTTCACAAAACATGGCGGTGTTGGCATGACCTGAGGGTGGAGTTTTTATCTTCTTGATGTCAAAAGGTCACTTATCGGACATCCGCGTGGGCCCAGGTGATGAGTGGGTGGTCTCAACCAGCCTGAAGTGGACAAGGGGTTCTAATTCCTGAAAAACAGCTCAAACATCCATTACCATGGTGACCCAGGCTTCAAGGAGATGTTATCTATAGGAATCTAGTGGGAGTCAGATAGCATATTGCCTAAACAGCACAGTTAACAATGGGCAGGTAAACAGCTAAAAGCTATAGTCAGTAATTGCAAAAAGGAAAAAAACTTTAGTCTTTAGTTCCTAGCTACTTAATCATCAATGGTCAACTTTTTGCCGGTTTCATACCTTGCTTCAGAAATCAACGATGTATTGTGTGATGTTTAGTACCCTGTGTCACTGTTCCTTTAAATGGCTTCCTTCAATGTTTCCCATTAGGCAGAAAACCACAGGGTCAGTTCTCTCCAGACTCACTTTGCTATAGAATCACTGGCTTATTGATGCTTCTGAGAAATGCCAAACCTGTTTTAGAGCTTTACCCTCATTATTTCCACTCTTTGTAAGCTCATCCTCCCATCCCCTTGCATCACATTCCTGCTGATGCCTTCCCTGGACCTTTCTGCTTTGCACAGACCAAGAATGAAAGGATGGCCTCTCATTTCCCAGAAAGCCCTCACCCATTTCACCACACATCTGCACACTGCATCAAGGACCACCTGACAGATGACAAAAGTAGAACTGCAAAGATTTCAAGGCATATTAAGAATTTATTCACGGAGCCAAGATATATATTGCCTTGAGAAAAATGTGTATCCATCACGGATATTGTTTAATAATGCATAATATTAATTTTTGCATTAATTAATATGCATAATATTAAACAATATCCGTGATGGATACACATCCACATGTCAATAATAGTAAACATTGTCTATAATGGCTGAGTCCTCCCTTTTCACTGCTGTGGCCCTTGCTCCCACTCCAGAAGTCGGGCACACCCCCCAGGCAGCCAGCAGCAAGTCTCCACAACTCTAGGCCCAGGAGAAGTCCTCCCTGCAAGGGGAAGTCCTCCCTGCAAGGGGAAGTCCTCCCTGCACTGACCAAGTCCTCCTGGCAGGCCAAGGCCACATTTCTACCTCCACGTGTGGCTGTCAGGAGGTGCCCAAGGAACCCGCCAGGTCTTGAGCCAGGGTCTTCCCAGGTGGTCCCTTTACCACCCGATTTTTCAGCCTGGAGATCTGAGAGCACAGGAGTGGTCCCACACTCAGGAGGGGACGTTCGGGGATCAAGGGGCAATGGTAGTCCCCAACTGGAGTCCATGGTGTAAAAAGACAGTCGGATGCAATGCAAACCCTAAAAGAAGGTGGCAGCTTTAGGTGTCCAACTGGTTGAGATAAGGAAGTACCTGGTGTAAAATGAGGAAGCAGATTTTTTGTGTGTGTGTGAGGAAGATCAGCCCTGAGCTAACATCCATGCTAATCCTCCTCTTTTTGCTGAGGAAGACCGGCTCTGAGCTAACATCTATTGCCAATCCTCCTCTTTTTTTCCCCCAAAGCCCCACAGTAGATAGTTGTATATCATAGTTGCACATCCTTCTAGTTGCTGTATGTGGGACACGGCCTCAGCATGGCCAGAGAAGTGGTGCGTCGGTTCGCGCCTGGGATCCAAACCCGGGCGGGCAGTAGCGGAGTGCAAGCACTTAACTGCTACGCCACCGGGCTGGCCCAAGGAAGCAGATTTAGGTTGTGCAAGATATATTGTTAAGTCAGCAAAGCAAACTACAGATCTGTATACAAAGTATGACTTCCTTGTAACTAAACAAAAAATAACTTGTATAGGAATATATATGAATGCACAGGCACACACGTGGTAGTCTAGTTGTTAAGATTCTGGCTCTCATCCCTGAGGCTGGGTTTGTTTCCTGGTCAGGGAACCACACCACCCATCTATCAGATGTCGTACTGCGGGGGCTGCATGTTGCTGCGATGCTGAAAGCTAGGCCACAGTATTTAAAATACCAGCAGGGTCACCCATGGTGGACAGCAAAGCTTCCAGACTAGACAGACTAGGAAGAAGGACCTGGCCACCTGCTTCCCAAAAAATTGGTCATGAAAACTCTGTGAATAGCAGTGGAACATTGTCTGATATAGTGCAGGAATCAACTGGAAGGAATTAACAAACAAATAAAACAGGTACACACATATGCATGAAACCGAGAATGAAGGAGTTAAAAATCTTCCTTGGGCTAGAAGAAGAGAAAAAAAAACTTTGAGATAAGCTTTGCTAACTGCAGCTGTGCATACTCAGCATAATCAGCTGTTGTTCAAAACTAACCAGGTCTTTCTTCCCTTCCTTAGTGTATGAGTGAGCTGTCTTTCCCAGGAAGTCAAGGTCCAGATGTCAAGGTTCAACCTCACAAGGCCAAACACAGGCTGAAGATGAAAACAAATCAAGACAGTCCAGACAGTCAAGGGAAAAGAAAGTCAGTCTTCAAGGCCAAACGCAGGCTGGTGAGAAGGTGCTAACCAGCAAGGCCACATGCTCTCCCTCCCCTACCTAAAACCCCAGCTAAAAACCCTTACCTTTTCCCCTTTGAGGAGGTGGATCTGAGTTTTAACTGCCATCTCCTCGTCTGGCTGCCTTTTGACAATAAACGTCTTTCCTTGCCACAAGCCTGGCATTCCAGTTATTGGCCCTTCTGGGCAGCAGGTAAACAAACCTGTGTCTCTGTTTGGTAACATGCATCCACGTGCAGATAGAATTCTAAAAAGATACCATGCTGCAAAGATTGATTCTCTCCAGGAGTAGAATTATCAGAAACTTTTGACTTTCCGTTTTATAAATGTACATAGTACAGTACTTCTTAGTAAACAACAGTTAATTTGATTTTTATACATTAAAAACTTTCCACGTATATCAGGAAAAAGAGTGTGCATGTATAAAACAGTTACAACTATGTTATATGGGTAAAAAAAATTCTATGTTTTATGGATAAGACAGCGTTTCTCACTGAGTTGGGCACAATCACTGACTATACAGGCAGGAGAGACGTTTTCTCTGGAGACCAGAGACCCAGATCCCACCTTGTCCATCTGCTTCATAGCCGCCTAATATCTCCTCTTCCATCTTCTCCATCATGGTCCTGAATGGTGTCTTTTCTTGTCCCAGACTGAATCCACCACAGGTCACAAAAATGACTTTAACACTTCAGGCTGCATGTGTTTGAAGTGCAATAAAATAAGGTTTATTTGCTTCTAGCTACCAGTGGATGACCACTGTAGTCGGCTTCATGGAGTCTGAAATAATGTCTCAACACTTAAGTGATCAGTAGCGTTGAGGACTCTTAAGAACACTTAAGATTCCCCAGAAATCGGCCTGCCGCCCCTTTAAGAAGGAGCAAAGCTCCTTCCCCGCTCTGTAAACACAGTGAGGTCATTTCCCAGCGGCCTTGCGCAGCTGCTGGGCCGCTTCTCTGGGAAATTCTCTGAGCTGCTTACTGGCCTGTGCTGCTGTGGGAACCACATTACCCAGAAAGCTATGCGTTGAGCGGCAGCGGGATTCCTCCAATGAAATTCCAGAGAGGGGGCATTTACGGGAGGGCGAACCTCCTTGAGGTGGGTCTTCTGGCGTTTTTGTGGCGGTCGTTGTAGCGGCTTTCCGGTCCCTTCACCCGGTGAGAAGCTCCGGCTCCGGATCGCCAGGTGGGGACGGAGGTCACGGACAAACAAGGCGCCACAGGAGGCGCTGTCCGCGCTGCACAGGGCGGGTCAGAGGCCCGGCGACGCCGCCTGGGGGACCCGGGACAGGGACCGCCGTGCCCGGGTCTCCTCCTCTCCCGCCGCTCCCGGCCCCGCTCCGCCCCCGGAGTCCGATGGCGGCGGCCGCGCGGAGGGAGCCGGCTCAGGTCAGTGCTCGTGCTCCGCGCCCTCCCCGCCCTCAGCCCAGCCCAGCCCTAGAGCCCCGAGTGCGGGCGCCGCTCACGGGCCTGCAGCCCAGGCCCCGGTGTCCGGGACGGGGAGGCGCTCGTGGGGCCTGTTTCTGAGAGCCGGGGTGACGGGTGTGGGAGAGGGTCCCAGGGGAGGGCCCAGCGGGGGAAAAGTGTGGAAGGCGATTGAGCGGGAGGAGTCGGGGACCCAGGGGTTGTGTTCTGTGTGGAGTGAACAGAGTGTGAGGAGGAGTGTCACCTGGACTGGAGGCTGAGGAGCTGTTCCTTCTCCGAGGGCCCTGGGAGCCGTGGAGGGTTGTGAACAGAAGAGGGACACTGTGTGTGTTCTGGTTTAAATAGTTTTCCCAAAGCTGCTCAGCGAGAGAACACACTGGAATGGGGGTGATGAGGCCAGTGAGGCACAGGGGGGTTGAGTCCTCGTCTAAGGTCGCAGAGCTGGTAAGAGGCAGCCCTGAGGACTGAGGCACAGAGGTTAGTCCCTTAGTCCGAGGTCACCAGATTCCAGGGCTGGGCTGGGATACAGGGGAGGCCTGTGCATCTGGATCCCAGCCATGGTTGCCTGTCTCTTCCCACAGATTCTGAAGGTTGAAAAAGCACTTAGGGAACCTACACAGGGAAGGAGAGGGCGTCCCAGACCCTCCGTGGTCCTGACACCACCTGTGTCAGGGATTTTGGTGACTCGAGCCTCTTCCCTTGCTATTTCCCTGGCTTTGGGGTGTAGGCACCCTGGGGATACCCTTAAGCCCAGGGTCCTGAGTGAGGCCAAGGGTAACGTGGAGGTGTTTCCATTTCTGGCAGACAGTGTAAAACACGTGTGAAAGGTTATCCCAGGAACAGATACCAGGAACATAAGTGTGTGCAAATGCTTGGAGATGTGACTGAGCTGGAGACAGGGGACAGCAGGTTTCCATTCTTTCTGTTAAGAAGAAAGAGCAGGGGGTCAAGAAAAAGGCCTGTAGTGTGGCTACCTGAGAAGTTGGGCGTCTGTTAGGGAGGTAAGGGGAGGTTTGGATAAGGGGAAGGAGCTGGTCTTACCCAGGTTTAACAGGCTCCATCTGACTGCACAGTGCAGACCAGACTTTTGAGTTAAGCCAGGAGGCAGGGAGACCAGGAGGAGGCAGCTACTGTAATCCAGATGAGTGTTGATGGAGCAGAGTGGTGGCCATAAAGATGGGCAAAAAGTTGGACTCTGTCCGTTTTCTTAAGAAGGGTCAAGGAGATCTTTTGGGTGTTGTAGGTGAGGGAGACAAAGGGAAGAGTCAGGGATGACTGCGGTGTCACTGGTCATAGAAGCTGAAAGGATGGAAGCTCCAACTGGGATGTGGAAGTTCATGACAGATTAATTTTCCTTGGGAACATCAGAAGGTTTTTTTGGCACTGTTAAGAGTGTGACATTTCAGAGAACAGTGAGTGGGGGCATCAGATGGGCAGCTGGACACACAGATCTGGAAATCTGAGGAGGGGTTCAGGATGGAGACATCGAAAAGTGGTGTCTATTGTTGGACCAGGAAGGAGCTGTGCATCCCATTTAGGTGGGGGAATGCAGGTCGTCATGGTGATGCTATTCGCTGGTCAGAAAGAGGAGGATGCAAGATGGTGAGTGGTTTTCTTGCTGTCCACCTAATGAGGTGCAGAGGTGCACACAAACCCGGGTGAAGGGGAGAAGTGGTCATGGTGACCGTATGGGAGAGAGCATGGTCTGGCAGGTGACTAAGGCTTCCGTGGGATGAGTGGACCTGAGATGTCTGTGGAGGCAGAGGAGTAACTGAGACAAGATGACACTGAGGCCAGGGCTCCCACTCCTTCACTAATGTACAGCTTCACCAGAATTTTGTGGTGAGCTTCAGTAGGGTCTGGGGTGTTCAGTGTTGATGGTGAATGAGGTGTAAGGCAAATGTGGTCATTTGTGAGAGTCACTGTGCCTGACACAGAGACCATCAGGGCTGGGGTTTTAAGGAAGGTTGAGTGGAGAGAGGAGGGTTGTAGTCTCTGAGGAGACAGGAAGTGCAGCACATAAATGGAAGTAGGTCTTGGGTATCTGTAGTTCACACGTGCTTCTGAGTGGTTAATATTGAAGCAAGGATCAGAGGTATAGAGGAGGCCTTCAGAGCAGCCTTTGGGGATTTCCTTAAATACAGAGCTGTGAGAGTGCAACTGTGCGCACTGAAGAATTGTGAGAGGTATAATCTACAGAATGATGTGCACATCAAGAGGACGTGTGAGCTGATGGCCCTAGGGCTATGGTGTTGGAGACTGAAGGCCTCCAGTTTGGCTGTGTCCTGGAGTCCAAATGTGGAGACTCCAGGGGAATTGATTGACAGGATAGGTGGGACCCTACAGGCCAGGACCAGAGCTTGGATGACGTCTCTGTGCCCCCCTGCCTGATGTTTCTGAGGGCTGAACACAGTGAATAAAGAGACCCTGGGGGGCCGGCCCCGTGGCTTAGCGGTTAAGTGCGCGCGTTCCACTGCTGGCGGCCCGGGTTCGGATCCCAGATGCGCACCGACGCACTGCTTCTCCGGCCATGCTGAGGTCGCGTCCCACATACAGCAACTAGAAGGATGTGCAGCTATGACATACAACTATCTACTGGGGCTTTGGGGGAAAAATAAATAAATAAATAAAAAAAAATTAAAGAGACCCTGGGGATAGGGCGGGCATTAATGGCACCTAGGCCTGGAATTCCTCTGAGGTGGGGAGCTCTGGAGGAGGATGCGTGTGGAGTAGATATGTGGGGAGATGGATTATGGGATCCCAGAGAGACGATGTTGATGGTTTCATCTGTCCCGATCATAACAGGACAGTGTGACCTTTCATGATGTTGCCGTGTACTTCTCCCAGAAGGAATGGAGGCTCCTTGATGAGGCTCAAAGACGCCTGTACCTGGATGTGATGCTGGAGAACTTTGCACTCATATCCTCACTGGGTAAGACTCTCACGGCCTCACCAGTGATCTGGACTAGGCTCTGTTCCCCGCTCCACAGCCCTTCTCAATCGTTTCATGTGGACAGTGGACTTTAATTGCTTTCTCGGTTTTCTGGGTCGTTGCTGTGTTGCTAGGACTGGGGTGTTTGCCCTGCCCTCTTCTCTCCCCTGCAGCCCTGATAACCTGCTGTATGGAACCCTCTTGGGAAAGGATTCCAGGTTGGTAGTATTGCAGTGAGCTTAATGGATTCCACCGTGCTTGCCCCTCCTCTCTAGGTCACTGTATCCAGATCCATATCATTTCTGTGTCCCAGGTTTTGATCCCTTGTTTTCCCTGACATTTCCTCATGGTTGCTTGTGCCAGGCGTGCAGGCATTGTCATGGTCACTGCTTACCTGAAGCATGGGCTACTTTTCAGCACCCTCCTGCGTGGTTTGTAGTGTTTAGGTCTGTTTTCCTTTTTTTTTTTCCAGGCTTACCTAGATATAAAATTGTATACTGTCATTCCTTGGTATCTTCAGGAGGTTTGAGTGGTTCCAGGATCCCCCATGGACACTAAAATCTGAGAATGCTCAAGTCCCTTATATAAAGTGGCATAGTCTTTGCATATAACCTATGTACATCCTCCTGTATAAATCATTAAATCATCTCTAGATTACTTATAATACCTGGTACAATGCAAATGCTATGTAAATGCCTACACATAACTTCATTCATGTGGATTCAGTGTAGTGGTGGTGCATGGCAAATTCAAGGTTTGCTTTTTGGAACTTTCTGAAATTTTCTTTTTTCAGATATTTTTGATCCATGGTTGGTTGAATCCATGGATATGGAACCCATGGATATTGAGGCTGACTGTATATTAAAGTGCACAACATGATGATTTGATATATGTATACATTGTGAAAAAATTGCCACAATGAAGTTAAACTTCATCATCTCATAAAGTTACCTTATTATTATTATTATCATCATCATTATTATTATCATCCTTTGGTAAGAATGCTAAGATCTACTCTCAGTAAATTTCAAGTGTTATTAACTATAGTCACCATGCTGTACATTACATCCTCAGAACTTATTCATCTTATAACTGCATGTTTGTACCTTTTGACTAATGTCTCCCCATTTCCCCCATGCCCCAGCTCTTGGCATTCTACTCTCTGTTTCTATGATTTTGATTTTTTTTCTTTTTTTACATTCCAACCACAGTGAATAAGGGTTCCCTTACATCTGCACCCTCACCAACACTTATATCTGCTCTTTTTGATGGTAGCCATTTTTTTTTTAATTTTTTTTTTCAATTCTTATTTATTTATGTTTTTCCCCCAAAGCCCCAGTAGATAGTTGTATGTCATAGTTGCACAGCCTTCTAGTTGCTGTATGTGGGACGTGGCCTCAGCATGGCCGGAGAAGCGGTGCGTCGGTGCGCGCCCGGGATCCAAACCCAGGCCACCAGCAGCGGAGCGCGCACGCTTAACCGCTAAGCCACGGGGCCGGCCTGACGGTAGCCATTTTATCAGGTGTGAGGTGATATCTCACTGTGGTTTTGATTTGTATTTTCCTGATGATTAGTGAGGAAGAGCATTTTTTCATATACATGCTGGCCGTTTGTGGATCTTCTTTCATAGAACGTCTGTTCATGTCCTTTGCCCATTTTTAATTGGATTGTTCTGTTGCTGTTGAGTTGTATGAGTACTTTATATATTTTAGATATTAACCCCTTATGATATACAACATTTGCAGATATTTTCTACCTTTTCATTTTGTTAATTGCTTTCTTTGCTATGCAGAAGATTTTTAGTTTGACATAGCCTGACTAGTTTATTTTTGCCTTTGTTGACTGTGCTTTTGGTGTCATATCCAAAAAATTGTTGCCAAAATCAATGTCAAGGAGGTTTTTCTCTGTTTTTTCCAAAGCATTTTACATTTTCATGTCTTACATTTAAGTCTTTAATCCATTTCGAGTTAATTTTTGTGAGTGGTGTAAGGTAGGTTTCTTTTTTTTTGCACGTGCATATCCAGTTTTCCCAACACCATTTATTGAAGAGACTATCCTTTCCCCATTGTGTATTCTTGGCACCCTTGGCAAGGAGTAGTTGATCATATATGTATGGGTTTGTTTTTGGGCTCTATATTCTATTTCATGGGTCTGTGTGTCTGTTTTTTCAGTGCCATACTGTTTTATTACTGTTGTTTTGTAATATAGTTTAAAATCATGAAGTGTGATGCCACTAACTTTGATCTTGATCAAGATTGCTTTGGCTATTTGAGATCATCTGTGTTTCGAATTTTAGGATTCTTTTTCTATTTCTGGTAAAACTGCCATTGGAATTTTGGCAGAGATTGCATTGAATCTATAGGTTGCTTTGGGTAGTAGAGATATTTGAGCAATCATAATTCCTCCAATCCAAGAACATGGAATATCTTTCCCTTTATTTGTGTCTTCAGTTTCTTTCATCAATGTCTTACAGTTTTCAGTGTACAGATCTTTTGCCTCCTTGGTTAAATTTATTCCTAAGTATTTTATTGTTTTTCATTTTGTTGTAAATGGGATTGATTTCTTAATTTCTTATTGAGATATTTTATTGTTGGTGTATAGACACAGCTGATTTTTGTATTTTGATTTTATGTTCCGCAAATTTACTGAGTTCATTTATTCATTCTGACAGTTTTTTAGTAGAATTTTTTATGGTTTTCTTTATGTAAGATCACATCATCTGCAAATACAGACAGTTTTACTTCTTTTTTTCTAATTTAGATACCTTTCCCTTTTTTTTTTTTTGCCTTTTTGCACTCGCTAGACTTCCAGTACTATTTTAAATAGCAGTGGTGAGGGTGGGTATCCTTGTCTTGTTCCTGATCTTAGAGCAAGAGCTTTTAGCTTTTCATTGTTGAATATGCTGGTAGCTGTGGGCTTATCATGTATGGCCTTTTTGATATTGAGGTACATTCCTTCTATACCTAATTTTTTGAGAAGTTTTTCCATGAAAGGATTCTCAATTTTGTCAGATGCTTTTTCTGTATCTATTGAGATGATCATATGATGTTTTGCCTCCTTCTGTTTATGTGGTATTTATTCATTTCCTTATGATGAACATCCTTGCGTCCCAAGGATAAATCCCACTTGGTGACAGCTTATGATTCTTTTCGTATGCTGTTGAATTGGGTTTCCTAGTGTTTTGTTGAGTTTTTTTACACTTATCTTGATCAGGGATGTTGGTCTGAAATTTTCTTTTCTTGTAGTGTCCTTGTCTGGCTTTGGTGTCAGGTTAATGCTGGCCTCCTAAAATGGATTTGGAAATGCTCCTCTTCAAATTTTTGGAAGAGTTTGAGAAAAATTGATGTTAATCCTTCTTCAAATGTTGATAGAATTCATCAGTGAATCTATCTGTTTGTGGCCTTTTCTTTCTTGGCAGATTTTTGATTACTGATTTAATTTCATTACTTGTCACTGGTCTATTCAGATTTTCCGTTTCCTCATGATTTTGTGTTGGTAGGTTGTATGTTTCTAGGAATTGATCTGTTTCTTCTAGGTTATCTAATTTGTTGGCATATAACAGTTTATAGTAGTCTTATGATCCTTTGTGTTTTTGTGCTGTCAGTTGTAATTCCTCCTCTTTTACTTCTGAGTTATTTTATTTGAGTTTTCTCTCTATTCTAAGTTAGTCTAGCCAAAGGTTGGTCAATTTTATCTTTTCAGAAAACTAACTCTTAGTATTGTTGATCTTTCTATTGCTTTTATAGTTTCTTTTTTATTTATTTCTGCTCTGATCTTTGTTTTGTTCTTTATTCTGCTAACTTTGGTCTTAGTTTGTTCTTTGAAGTGTAAAGTTAGGTTGTTTACTTGAGACCTTCCTTTTTTCTTAATGCCAGCATTTATCACTCTAAACTTTGCGATTAGAACTGCTTTTGCACGTTCCATATGTTTTGTTTCATTTTTGTTTGTCTCAAGATATTTTTTGCTTTTTCCTTTGACCAATTGATTGGTCAAGAGTGTGTTGTTTAATGCCCACATATTTGTGAATGTTTTAGCTTTCATCCTGTTACTGATTTCTAGTTTTACCCATTGTGTTAGGAAAAGGTACTTGATATGATTTCACTCTTCCAAAATTTGTTAAGACTCTGTGGACCCAGAATTTGTTAAGAGGATAACATAGGATCTGTCCTAGAGAATATTCTGTGTGCACTTGAGAAGAACGTGTATTCTGCTATTGTAGGATGGAATGTTCTGTATATGTCTGTTAGATCCATTTGGACTCAAGTATCATTCAGTTCAAATATATCCTTGTGAATTTTCTGTGTGGATATCCACGAGTCGTTGAAAAGGGGGCTATTGAAGTTCCCTCTTAATATTCCCTTGCTATCTTTTCTGCCTTCAGATCTGGTTGTATTTGCTTAATAATTTAGATGCTCTGATGTGTGCTGCATGTATACATACAGTTGTTACATTCTCTTGATGAAGTGACTCTTTTATCATTATATAATGATTTTCTTTGTCTCTTGTGACAATTTTTGACTGAAAGTCTATTTTATCTCATATAAGTATAGTTACTCCTGCTCTCTTTGGTTTCCGTTTGTGTGGAATATCTCTTTCAGTGCCTTCACTTTCAGCCTGTTTGTGTCCTTAAAGCTGAAGTTACTCTATTGTAGGCAGCATATAGTCAGATCTTGTTTTTTTCCCCCCTTCAGCCACTGTATGTTTTTTGATTGGAGAATTTTTTTAGGACCTACTATTGCCATTTTGTTAAATATTGTCTGGCTGTTTTGTAGTTCCTTGGTTCCTTTCTTCCTCTCTTGCTGTCTTCCTTTGTGATTTCCCATGGTGGTATGCTTTCACCCCTTTCTCTTTTGTGTATCTACTATAGGTTTTTGCTTTGTGGTTACCATGAGGCTTATATAAAACATCTTATAATCATAGCGTTGTATTTTAAGCTTATAACTTAACTTCCATCCCATACAAAAACTCTACTCTTTTGCTCCCCCCCACATACATTGTATGTCTTTGCTGTCACAATTTACATCTTTTATATTGTGTGACCGTTAACAAATTATTGTGGGTATAGTTATTTTTCATACTCTATCTTTTATCATTTATACTAGAGTTGAGTGCTTAACACACTATTACATAATAAGAGTATTCTAAATTTGACTATATACTTACCTTTGCCACTGTGTTTTATATTTTCATGTTACTAATTAGTGTACTTTCATTTCAGCTTGAAGAAGTCCCTTTAGCATTTCTTGTAGGGTAGGTCAAGTGGTGATGAACTCCCTCAGCTTCTGTTTGTCTGGGAAAGTCTTTTTCTCTCCTTCATTTCTGCAGGGCAGCTTTGCTAGTAAAGTATTCTTGTTTGCAATATTTTTCTTTCAGTACTTAGAACATCATCTCACTCTGTCCTGGTATGTAGTGTTTCAGCAAAGAAAACTGCTCATATCTTTATGAGGGTTGTCTTGTATATGTTGAGTTTGTTTTCTCTTACAGTTTACAGAAGTGAGTTTTGTTATGTGTCTTGGTGAAGTCCTCTTTGGATTGAATTTGTTTAAAGACTTATGAGCATCATGTACCTGGATGTCTGCTTCTTTCCCCAGATTTGAAGAGTTTTCATCCATTATTTCTTTCAATAAACTTTCTTCCCCTTCCTCTCGCTCTTCTCCTTCTCGGGCTCCCATAATGCAAATATAGTTTTGTTTTATGACATCCACTACTTTATGTAGACTTTCTTCACTCTTTAGTTCTTTGGTCTTTTTTCTTCTTTCACTGGATAGGTGAAGGTAGGTCAAAAGACCTACCTTCAGTTTCAGATTCATTCTTTGGATTTATCAAGTTTGCTATTGCATTTTTTTCATTTATTATAGTCTTTAGTACCATCATTTTTGTTTAGTTCTTTTTTATATTTTCAATTTTTCTGTTGGAAATCTTGTTTTGTTTGCTTAATGTTTTCCTTATTTTGTTGAATTGTCTATCTCTGTTTTCTTGTAGCTTGCTGAGCTTCCTTAAAAAATTATTTTGAATTCTTTGACAGTTCATAGATGAACATTTCTTTGGAGTGACTGGTAAATTATTGTGTTCTATTGGAAGTGTCATGTTTCCTTGATTTTCGTATTTCTTGTAGCTTTGTGCTGATGTCCGTACATTTCATGAAGCAGTCACTTCTTCCAGACTTTACAAAAGGTTTTGGTGGGGAAGCTCTTCACCCCGTGTGGGTGCGAGTGTGTCATCTTGGTGGGGTGTGGTGGTTCATACTACAAGAAGGCCTAGTGGCTTAGTGTCTGTGCAGCTCTGTCACCTGAGGTCAGCATCAGCGAAGATTGCAGGGGTCCTCAACAGCGAAGGCTATGGGTGTGCTCAGCAGGGGAGAGTGCTGATGGAGGGACCTCCTGATCTCTTTGTCCCATGGGAAATATGTTGACTGAGGGTTTCCCTGTTGATGCCAAGTCTGGCTCTTGGGTGCCTTCATGGTGGTGGTGATATTGATGTCTGATGTGGAGGCACCTCTCGTGCAGCTATGGCTCTGGGTTCTAGTGTGCAAAGAGACACGAAGCAATAGCAGTTCTAGGGTCCCAGATGCTGAATAGCCTGCAGCAGCATTGACTTCACTGTGTAAGATGCAGTCACACTCTGAGTGGTGATGAAGCCTGTGACCCGAGCACGGCTGAACACAGAGAGACAGAGTCTCTGGAGTCTGAGGAGCTGTCTGGCCCACAGCAACCATGGCTCTGGTGTCTGAGGTACAGGTGCTCAGGTGACAGTCGTGGAGTCAGGTTGTGGAGTATTGGCAACCGTGGAGCAGTTGTGGCTCTAATGTCTGTGACATGTGCAGGATTGAGAGGGGTGACAGCTGTGATCCTGAAACAGAGAAATAGCTCCTTCATTTAGGGGGCAACTCTGGGAGGTGTCTCATGGCATTAGATATTGGTTACCTTAGTGAGAAAGCTGCCCGTGTTCTCTGCAGAGCAGTCAGCTGGAATCCACACCTGTAAACCCTCGGCCTCCTCTACTGTGCACACTGTGGGTTCAGCAGCTGTAGTGAGGGCTGCGGAGGTTCTCTGCAGCAAAGGCTGCTGGGGTCCTCTGCAGAGCAGGTTATTGGGGACTGTGATGGCATCTGCCCTCTGGCTGATACCCCCAGCCCCTGCCCTTCTTCTTAGTTCCTGTTCATCTCCAGGTGTCTTCACTAAGTCAGTGTCCCCAGTGATCTTTTTTGAGTGGTTATTCTCCTTTGTATGTTCCGATGTGTTGCTGTGGTATCTTAATTGGGCTCTTGAGCCCTCCAGGGGCCAATTTTGTTCATAGATAGCTGTCTAATTGTTTCTTGTTGGTGGCAGAGGCTGGTTTCCTCCTCTAGCCTGCTGAGATCACTCACTTAGATCTCTTTTCTGTGATGTGTTGTGGGCTGAGTTGCTCTGAGTGTGTGCCATTCACCTCCTGTCATTCCCTTAGGCTTTGTATCCTCCATGTCCCGTGTAGTTGCCCAGCTAAGGCTTAGGGGAAAGAGTTCTTGGTGCCTCACAGGATGGATATGACTGCAGCCATAGCAAGGTGGGCTCAGAGGGGGCCTGGCCCTGGGAGTAGCATCTGGGGAGCGTGTGACGTCAGGCCCATATTCAGATCATAGCAGGAGCCTATCCTGTTCAACCAGATTTGGTGCCATTGCTGGTAGCCACACCCCACTTTTACCTTTCCTTCCCCCTATTGACACTTTGCCAACTTGTGCATTCTACTATTTGTCTACTGTGACTTCCAGCCCAGGGAGAATCGCCATGTCTCTGGACTTCACATATGACCCGTTTCTCTCACCACTCCTGCAGTGCTCTCCACCGTTGGCATTCACATGTTGGGCTCTGAGGTGTGAACATATCCCTGTATTCACATTGAGCAGCAGCTAATGCGTTGTGATTGGATTTTCATGGGCTTGGATGCACCCTTCTACTGAGCCTCACATCAGCAGCAGAAAAGGTCCTGCAGGAAGCTGTGGACAGAAAACTAGGTGTAGACCCTGCTTCTCTTACTTCTGTCATACCCTGTCTTTGAATCCTTCCCCTGGTGAGGTCTCCACCAATCTGTGACCTTAGGGGCCCAGTGATGCAGAGCAGTCAGCTGCTCCTTCAACTGAATTCTAACTTCCTTGTCTTGAAAAGCATCCCATAGATTCATTGTGAGATGAGAGAGATGCACACTTGTGATGGGGTTGCCCCTCTCTGTAGTCAACACGTACTTCATCAGGGTTTCTTTGTGTTCAGGTTGCTGCTGTGGAGCAGAGGATGTGGAGGCTCCCTTTGAACAGAGCGTTTCTGTAGAAGTTTCATCTGCCAGGACTCCCAAGGCAGCTCCATCTTCCCAGAAGACCCACCCCTGTGAGACATGTGGTCCAGTCTTGAGAGAGATTTTCCACTTGGCTGAGCAGCAAGGACCACAACACAGACTGCAACTGTTGAGGTGTGGGGCTTGTGCAAAACAATTTGATTTCAGTGCAAAGTTTCAACAGCACCAGGAGCAGCACACGGGAGAAAAACACCTCAGAAGCAGTGTGGACAGGGCCTCGTTTGTGAAGAGCTGCAGATTCCATGTGTCAGAGAAGCCCTTTCCCTGGGGGGAGGTTGGGAAGGACTTCCTGGCCAGCTTGGGACATCAGCAACAACTGACCACTCATACTGTGGAAAAGCCAAACAAAATCACCCAGTACGAGGCCACTTTACCAGGCAGAAAAAGTCATTACACCTGGGGAGAATACAAGAAAGCCTTCAGCCCCAAAGGCACACTTGTTCAGGACCAGGGTGTCCACTCTGGAAGACAGTGTTTTCTGTGCCATGAGTGTGGGAAAACATTCAGGTACAAATCCTCATTTGTTGTGCACCAGAGAGTCCACACTGGAGGAGGGCTTCATGTGTGTGAAGAATGTGGGAAATCTTTTATCACTCGTACTGCTCTCCGGTATCATCACAGAGTTCACACTGGAGAAAGGCCTTATGAGTGTAGTGAATGTGAGAAGTCCTTTACCCGAAAAAATGACCTCTTTATACACCTAAGAGTTCACTCAGGAGAAAGGCCTTATGGGTGCACTGAATGTGGGAAATCTTTTACCTTTAGCTCCAGCCTTCGTTATCACCACAGAGTGCACACAGGAGAAAGGCCTTATGAGTGCCGTGAGTGTGGGAAATCTTTTAACGATAGGTGGACACTCATTCGACACTGGAGAATTCACACAGGAGAAAAGCCATATGTGTGCAGTAAATGTGGGAAATCTTTTACCTTTAGCTCCACCCTCCGGTATCATCAGCGAGGTCACCTTGGAGAAAGGCCTTATGAGTGCAGTGAATGTGGGAAATCTTTTACCTCTAGCTCTGCCCTTCGTTATCATCAGAGAGTTCACACAGGCGAAAGGCCTTATGAGTGTAGTGAATGTGGGAAATCTTTTATCTCTAAGTCTTATCTCCATTCTCATCAAAGAGTTCATTCTGGAGAAAGACCTTATGAGTGCAGTGAATGTGGGAAATCCTTTATCCAAAGAAATAACCTCACTTTACACCAGAGAGTTCACACAGGAGAAAAGCCTTACAAGTGTAGTGATTGTGGAAAATCTTTTAACAATAGGGTGACGCTCATTCAACACCGGAGAGTTCACACAGGAGAAAAGCCTTATGAGTGCAGTGAATGTGGGAAATCCTTTACTACTAGCTCTGCCCTCCATTATCATCAGAAATTTCACACAGGAGAAAGTCCTTATGAGTGCAGTGAATGTGCGAAATCTTTTATCTCTAAATATGACCTTCATTCTCATCAGAGAGTTCATTCTGGAGAAAGGCCATATGAATGCAGTGAATGTGGGAAATCTTTTACCTCTACCTCTGGTCTTGGTTATCATCAGAGAGTTCACTCAGGAGAAAGGCCTTATGTGTGTGGTGAATGTGGGAAATCTTTTATCTTTAGCTCCAAACTCCGTTATCATCAGAGAGTTCACACTGGAGAAAGGCCTTATGAGTGCAGTGAATGTGGGAAAACTTTTAAGGATCGATCCCAATTCAATAAACACCAGAGAGTTCACACTGGTGAAAGGCCTGATGAGTGTAATGAATGTGGGAAGTCCTTTACCCAAAAATCTTCCCTCTTAATACACCAGAACATTCATAGTAGAAAAAAGTCTTATGAGTGCAGTGAATGTGGGAAATCTTTTACCTCTACCTCTGGCCTTGGTTATCATCAGAGAGTTCACTCAGGAGAAAGGCCTTACAAGTGCAGTGAATGTGGGAAATCTTTTATCTTTAGCTCCAAACTCCGTTATCACCAGAGAGTTCACACTGGAGAAAGGCCTTATGTGTGCAGTGAATGTGGGAAATCTTTTTTCAGTAGCGACACCCTCTCTTATCATCTGAGAGTTCATGCAGGAGAAAGGCCTTATGAATGCAGTGAGTGTGGGAAATCTTTTACCTCTAGTTCCACTCTCCGTTATCATCAGAGAGTTCACACAGGAGAAAGGCCTTATGAGTGTAGTGAATGTGGGAAATCTTTTATCTCTAGCTCCAACCTCCGTTATCA